CAAAATTGAACCTAATATCCGTATAATATTTTAATTGCAATCAAATGCACTTAGATGTTGAACTATAATTATGTGTGATAAATAAGGCCATCTCATATTATTATGCTATCACCATACTATGGCAATATTTATTGCTTATTTTGCATTATTAATTATGATATTCTTAATTATAATCACGAATTTGCCCACCCGGGCAAAAGGATATCTGCAGTGCAAATGCGTGCATAATATAACATAACGGTCAATGGATTCCAGAAGTAGTATTATACATAATGAATATAAACAATATGATGTACAGTATAATGGTATATCATTATAATAATTATATTGATATAGGTAGTTCATTAGCGTGTATCTCTTTCGGTAATAAAATATAATGATTGACGTCTATGCGATACCTAGATTTTAATAAATAACAAATTGTACTTATTATCGAGTAAATGCTACGTACATTGATAGTAATTGGAAGGAGGAAGCTTATCTGAACTTAACCACCCAAAATAATTACCAGATTCATTCAAAAATATTTTTAATTTCCTTGTTCGGTGAATATTGCTTTACACGTAATATTGGGACGGTTTGTTAATGTTTAACACAATGAATTCTAGATTAGTCTATATTTTTCGTGTTAATATTTGTTATCTTTTGTCTATTGCATAACCCAATCTTATAAATAAAATAACTTTACCAGGTATACTAAAAGCGACCATTAAAAGTAGGTATTTAAAAAGGTAAAACAAATTTTTAATTATTTGATTTAACTTGTAAAAAAATATTGCATTGTTTGATTACTATTAACTTTCAATCACATGTTTTATGTATTAATATTGTTTATTATACAATTGGTATAATATTTATTATTAAAGGAATATAAATACCAATTTATACTATGAATAGGTTGAGTTATTATACAAATTTGTTTTTTTCTTTTAGAATTAATAGTTATATCTTAGTATTCATGTAAAAAATTAGTTCCTCTAAAATTTAAATTAATCTCCGTCTACGGCAGTTGCAATTGTATTTACCTATGACAATATTTAAACGACAGTACGCACGTTAAGAATATTTCGATGTTAAATATTCGTTGTAAATATTAAAATACGCTGCTTCCATATAGCTTTCAGCGATACGTCATAATCGTGATTCACTCGTTATACGCAGCACGCGCGTATAATACGTGTACAACAGGTCATACCTACAGGTGGTTCGTATAATAAATTGATACCATTGCAGCAACGAATGTCGTTTATCGTTAAAATCTCGCATCCGAATAATAATCATATCATTATAATAGATATGTCGTATTAAACACGTCTATAAGTCTCACTGCGAGGTCGTAAAAAATTGCCTATTTGTTTTTTTTAATAGACGAGTGTAGGTACTTACCACGCACAACGTAATTATTTGCACGTCGTATTAAATGTACATAAGTAATAAAATGTAAAAATAAAAAACAAACGATAATATGATATGTCACAAGCGTTTCCTGCAAATTACTCATACCATATTATTCGAACGTGGCGTACACGCTTATCCACATATACGCATCAACGACGCGAAACGGTTTGATGTATTTACCGTTTTTCCGCGAACGGATGCGGACACAAGGACGTACGAGCGCCTATATGGCTGTATAATAAAATACGCATGTACATACACGTTTCCTAATCGATTGTGCACGGCGTATAATACATATTATTTTATACAGGGCGTTTCGTGAATAATAACGTTATGTACAAAGTTAAACTTTCGACGCGCTGCAATGGTTTCCGTTGTGCAGTGTCATAATATTATTATCGTCACAACACGATTTGCAACAAACTCGCAGACCTACTCATTCGAAACGCTATAAAATATGTGCAATATTTTAATAAGACATCAGTTAAAAAATACTCATAGCCTGCGAACGAACCTGAACATTTTAAATTTTCAGAAATATACGTTTATAAATTTAATAGGTAATGGGTTAAACGTGTACTATTTATATAAATTAAATAGTAAAAAAAAAGCAACAATGAATAATGTGATAGGCGTCAAATAATACGAACATTTAGGTCCAACGAATTATATTATTAATTACATCTACACGAATCAATCGAAAAACCTGAATCTTACAGGTGTACAGCCTAGTATTATTTCGTCGACTTGTCGAAGAGCAAACATTTTTGTTCATCGGTTTTTTTTTTTTAATGAGGTTTGTACGAAAATTATCACGAATAAAGTAAAAAATAATTCTAAAGCTCATTTTGTATATTATAATATTGTATAAACACTCTTTCGAGTGTTCTTATTGGAAAATACTGTGAATAGTCTAAATATAAAATATTATTATACTTGTTGATGGCTGTATTCGGCATATTATATTTATTTTATAAGAAATAGAATTTAAATATTCATTGAAAATAATCTAAGACAAGAAAAAAACCAACTATAGATGATCGCATAAATATTTATTTAATTAATTGAAAAAAAAAACGTCGATATACCTAATAAAATTAAGAGCGATTGTTATTATAATAGTTTCGTATCGTTTATTTTAAGAATTCAAAGACATTTGAGGAAGAGGTTGAGCCCGAACCGCTCCTCACGAATAAAGCACATCCGCAATAAATACCTGTAGACAGTTTACTATAATGTGTACATATTTATGCAGTCTTTATTGAAACTACAAAATCGAATATTGTTATCAACACCACCCCACGGGCTTGTTAAGTTATAGCGCGACGCCGCAACGGATCGGGAAAAAAATGTTACTTTAACAGTGTACGCCTTTTGATCAATATACCCAATATAATAATATATCCATAGATTAAAATATATCATCGTTTAAAATCGTCAAGGATTATCGAGTCCGGTACACGATATCCTAGTCGTCACGCTAATGTATTTATATATATATATATATATATATATTATAATGAATACTATGTTATATTATATTATTATCATATATTATTTTAATACGCGAAAACTCGTTCGAGTCGTAAATGACACGCTTGTCTAGCGAGGTTTGAACGTATACTCCGATACTCGTAATGTGTTTTATTATATGGACGAGTTTTCCTCGTGGCGTCCTGTCGCCGGATCGGTCGCCACTATAATATTCCGACTTCGATAACTTTCGATGCGTCCGTAAATAATTGTAAATTGTAATACGAGTCCATACGCGTGGGTCGTCACTCGTCGCCTCCGGGCGCACGCGTCCGAAAAAAAAAATCGAAACGGCAGCCAATCGCGTCGCATTACACGATGACGGCGGTATCGTAATAAATATACACAGCCGCTGTCATTGTTATTTATAGACATTTTGGTTTTGGTTGTTTTTTTTTTTTGGTTTTTATTAACAAATAATATTACACATTATCATTATAATATTTATTATTTCACTGGGGCGAAACTGCTGTCGGTTGCCTCCGGACAGAGACCGCCGCCGCAACGGAGGCATCTTATTAATGATATTATCATCACTGTCCCGAATGACGTAAAATATATAATTTATATTACGTATACTTATAATACATATGTATTACATATACATTCACACACACACACACACAATGCGTAATATAATTATTTAAACATACGGAGTGATCCATTTAATTGACAAACTTTAAACATTATCAAACAAATTGGTTATTATAACGAACTATACTGCTTTTTTATTACTATTTAGTAATTTGAGTCATAGTGATTTATAGGTTTTGTAAGGTTTTTTTCTTTTATGGCAACGTTTATTTTTTATTTCATTGCTATTAAAAGATGCAGAATATTGTTCCTAAGATATTGATGTATAAACAAAAATGATCAAAATTTATTGAATAAAATGTTTTTATTATCAATAAACATTTCAAATTTAAGTCAGCGGAATAATACACCACAACTTTTGACAGGGTAACTCTCCCTATTTTACTCTGCTTTCATATACATTACTCACATACACAGATATACTGATTAGTAATTTCTACTTTGAGACTATAATCATAAAAACATTTTTTTTTTCATATTTTTCAACATTTTAACATTAAAAAAATGACTTGGATATTAATGTGGTCAAATGGATCACTCTGTACATATTATATATGTGCATGTTTATACGTTTATAACGGCGATAGTATTAATAAAACATAAAAAAAAATACAACTTTATAATCGAATCACATTATTATACGGCTGCTGCCGATAATTACAAAATTCGTTTATAAACGAGAAAAAACCCTTCGGTTACCTACGGGCGACGTGTTTTCAATTATTACCGTCCGAAATGTACCTATATAATATTATTTCGCCGACCACTATAGTAGTACCAATATAATAATACTTGATATACAAATATATATTATACATAACAGAGTCGTCATAAATCCGGTCGGTTGTCACCCTCAGCTGCTGCTGCTGCTGCTGCTACACGGCACGGCACTTAGGTCACTTCAGTCTAATAAGAGGTAGGTACCAAGTGGAGGAGGAATATTGTTTTTTATCTTTCTCGAAAAACTCTAATGGAAAACCGGTACGCTTAATCACGAATGTAATGTAATTTATATTTTACACACACACACACACACACACACACACACACACATACAAACATATTATGTGTATTACCTATATAATATGTAGGTATATTACTGTGTATATGAATATATCAGTTTTTATTCTTTTTTCACCACGGCAGTTAAAAAAAAAAAATCTCCACAGATATAATATCGTGTAATAACATATAAAGTATCGGTTTCCCCCCAGAACGCTTAATGATATCTGGATTCTAATCAATTCCCGCCGTCGCCTAGCGCGAACCGAATATTTAAATATTAATCGAACTACCCGCATTTGGTAAAACTGGTTTCTCCGCGGGATTTGTCTATTCAATAATAATAACAATATAAAACTATTATAAAAAATAACCACGACGCGATTTATATCATTATAATAATATTATTGTTATTATTATATTATTATTATCATTGTAATAATAATAATTATAATTAATATTAAATGTTTTACCTTGTTCGCCGCGTTGCAGTACCAAGTAGATTTATGATCCATGCCGGTGCCCATCTGTAACAAGCAAGATACGAACGATTTTAATCTCATGTAAGTACACACATTTAATAATTCGTCCGCAAACATTCGCCATTAAATATATTAGATACATTATTTTAGAAACAGGTATAAGCATTTATTTATTACAAATAAGTAAAACAAGACAATCTGTACAATTTTATTATTAATTATGATGATATCCACTTGTATAAGAGGAGTAATTGGCATGAAGAGGAAATCGCCCATTAGTAACATCTCATTAAATTATTTTATTTATTAGTTTAATAAATTACGATCCCAGTTGCGTTTTAGCAGACGAAAACAGTTATCAAGAATAAAAAGAAAGGTCGTATTTATAATTGAACTGTTAGAGTGAGAAATTAATTTGGAATGAAAACGTAAGTATTTTTATTTTTGTAGGTATTCGTATAAAATATTATTATGCGTTAGCATAAACATTTCGTAACCAAATATTCGATAGACCAACTAGAATTTTTTCAAAGGTAATTTAGATAATATGTGTTTGTTCTAAAACTATTCTAGAGCATTTTATTTTGAATATAAAGCATGTTTTCGGAATTATAATAGGACTGAAAAACAGAGGTATGACGTCTAATTTATCATCATTCATCGTTTTTCCTTCACCTCAACAATAACTTGTATCATATTTTCCACCATCGTCTATTATTTTGTTTAATGACCTATCATCACCATCATAAACTTTATTATTAAATGAACTGTATTTGGACACTCATTACTCGTCGTCATAAGGTAGGTATTAGGTATACATTATACGTACCTATATCGTATAATATACATTGCTTTATCGCTGAAATAATGATATCGTCGTAGAGTATCATATAGATACGATTAATATATGTAACGAGATATCTCATAACGCCCGGGGTGCCTAATTCGAAATATATAATATACGATTTTAAAGAAAATCCAAAGTACATAATATTACGAATTAAACAAGTCAAGTAATAACAGAAAAACTACAGCAAAGTGTAGGTATAAGTATTATTATACGTTTACATTGTATTATAATAGCAGTATCGGGATCAATCAATCCTTAACCGGTTTTCTCATACCGAAATTACATCCTTGAGTAAGATTATCGTTACTTATTATTAAATTGAGAAATAAACATATATTGATTTATCCGTTTGTCACTATAATCATAATCAATGTGTACAAGCGGTAACTATGGTATTCCAATAATTCCTATAATTAATTCTTACGGTTTTGTATAAACCGACCAGTTAATTGGCATTAATGCCAATAAAACCGAATCGTTTATTAAAAATTATTAATTTGAAATTAATTTGTTATGATAAATGATTCAACTATATTTTTTCCTGGATAACTCGTGTTTAGATGTTATTATTTCATCAACTGTCATATTTTTCTAAATTAATTTTAAAAGATGTTTTTTTTTTTTTTAATTTATTTACCAACTAAGTAGTTTTAGCTAGTTGGTGTACTATAATAATATGGAAAGGACTAGATGTTATTCAACACTAAATAATTAAAAAAATATCATATTCCTTTCATGTTTTTTGACTCAATAACAAAATTCCTCAAATATCTTAAAAATGTTACAGCCACACTAGCTATTATACACATAGGAAATGAATTTAAATATATTATAATATATATATATATATATGACGTATTAATAACAAACGTGAGTGCGATGTAAACGTATAATTAAACTAGCTATGCATACGATAATAATACGGCAACAATATACCTATTTTACGATAATAAATCGACTCATCGTTCGCCTGGCGGCAAACCATTCAATTACCAACCAATAAATTGTTTTGCAACGCGCGTTTATTTTGCTGGCGGCTTTTCAAAAATACCAAAATCCGTCAACTATATATTACATATTACCACGTAAAATAAACTTCACGGAATCAGCGTGCTTTCTTTCAGTTTTTTTCCTTTTCAGTGATTTTTTTTTCACTTCCCTGGAGATAAACAAGCCATTACTGCAATATAATATGAAGGTAAGGTGTTAATTTCTCGCACTACCCATGCGGACGGACGTACAAACACGTGTGGCGTCGGCATTCGTTCAAACACTACACTGCTGCATCAATGACACAAACGATACAACTATAATAACAATAATCGAATGTCGGCAGAAAACAGTCATCTTGTTTTTTTCTCCATATTTTATAATATGTCTCGTATTATACCCGCTATTTGTTTACCAACCAGCACGGCTCACGCGGTTTTCACCGCATAATATATTATACCAGGTTGACAATACAGGATGATAGTTTTTGCTTACTATATCGTCTCATAGCATTAACTTCTTTAGAACATTTCGTTACCAATTTGAGTTTTTTTTTAATAACGGTGTATGAAATCAATATGAACATTTATACCACAAAAGTATAGTCGTATACTTAAGAAGACATCGCAATCTGTGCATGACATATTGAACGCACCTTACTAACAATACTAACACGCGCATAACATACAACAATTTAGCGATTTCAATTCTGTGCTCTCGTTTTAAATATTCGAGTGAATCGATCATTATCAAATTTAAAAGTGAGGACATTGTCTGTGTTCAGTTTTTGAGTTTTTGCGGTACTTTCATTTTTAAACAAGTTATTAGTATGTAAGACATTGATGTTTAAAAATGCTCATACAATTAAATATGCGGATAAAGAGTACGATGTCCTCTTGAACTTGAAAGATATTTACAGTTTACTCGGTTTAGATGAGCGGAACAAAATGTTGAAAAAATATAAATTCTTAGCAGTATAAATACTAAAAACACAAAATGCAATAATAACTTTCATATTTTTAAAAATTTGAAATTTGAAAAAATGTTCGAAAAAGTTAACATTTTTCGAGATATAACTAGAGTTTACTGTCAAAAGAATCACCCTGTATATTTTTAATATGTACAGTGTATAAGTATTTAGTGTGCACGTACACGCTGACACACACGTACGGGCGCGCTTGCATAGATAAGATAGGCGAAGAGGACACGTCAATATATACACATACACCGCACGAATCGTTCGGGAAAGTGGTCCCCACAGATCAAATATTTACTCAAAGAAACCCGTTTTTTCCGACTTTTTTTTTTTTATCATATAGGTACCGAGAATGAAAACAACAGCTAAAACGAATAGGCCACATATATAATATATTGTATTATATACGTGCGAGTTATGAGATCACCTCGGGAGCCACTATACATAATACAGGTGTCTATCACTATATTATGCGTTGTTGAGTTTTCATTTTTAATAATTGTGTGCATCAGCACGTCATTTATTGTGATTATTATTTTCGTACACATCATTATAATACATCATTATTACAGCTGTGGCTCCCATTCTTATAGATTATAAAATATAGATTTGTCAATACGGATTTGTTTTTTCTATAATAAATTACATTTTTTAATTTAGATTTAAAATTTTTTTATTCAATCTTATAAATTATAATACGTTTGTAGAGTTAGTCATCGAAGTGTCTAAATCGTTGCTTTAACTTTTTATTCTAAGCTCGTACGTAAGCCTTTTTTACCGTTGTGCTTTTATATTTCGCAAGTTCTGACAGTATATAAAAACAACAAAGTGGGTTTTATACGTGGGAAAGTGGTGGCAAACAATTTACCGATATTCAAAGAACTTGAGTGCGTCATACTTTTACGTGTAATGTTATAAATATAATTATGTATGTTAGGATGAACTAAGAAAACATAATTCTCTATTCTTATAACCATACTTGGTCGCAGAGAAATTCATACGTTAAAATCATGATGTGTACATATAAAGGTATAACGATGTCCTGCATGTAGTCACAAAAATAATATCATAAAAACAAACGAAAGTATAATTATTTAGCGTAAGTACTCGTTGATTGATGAGCGTATATTATATTATTATCTGTAAATATCAATTGGTGTACATATCGGACGAATAGTGAGATAAAATCCGTTCACGTATACAAAAAAAAAATTTGTAAACCATCAAAAATCAAAATCATTAAAGTGTTTATATTTCAATATTATGACTCTCCTCGTAACTAGAAAATATAAATAATAATATATGAAACTACATTAGTCTTTCTTTTGCGGAGTAAACTATATTGATACCGTAGTCGTACCGTGCCGGACAACATGACATTATATTATGACATATTCAGCGTGTGTTCAGTTTTTAATAACAACAAATAATACGAAAATGAGCTTATTACAATAATTTTATATCGTATTATTAATATAGTAGCTAAGCGAACGAAGTGAGATTATCAGCAATACTGTAACTATACACCGCACACGGTCAAATATTACGCGTGACAGCGTCGTCCACTCCGGTGCGGGTAATCGTGTTTACTTTTTCGATTAAATATTTTATATTTTCTAATATCGCGGTGACGTTGTGCATGTTATACCTATACCTACATACGTATAGGTGCATTCGTACGTCGTAATATACCTATGTTTATAAATGTATGGCTGTCGTCGTCTACGTCGTGCGCATCAAACTATTATAATAGGTATACGTATAATATTTACCGCTATATATATATATATATATATATATATAAATAGGTGCGGGAAAGCGGTTGGGTGGGAGGAGGGTGCACACACAACCTAGTTGTGGTTGCGGTAACCGACTGGCGACTGCACTATATACACACACACACACACACATATATATATATACAGTACAATATAACGTAGGTATATTATATTCTCGGACTATATAATTTTTTATCCGTTGCCCGCGCCGTTATAATATATATATATATATTATATGTATGTGTGTATTATGTACAGGTATACACGCGTAAGCCGTAAATACCGACGCGGCGGGTACATGTGTGTATCATAATATTGTATTATATAATGTTAACACAAGCACGCGAACCGTTTAAGACGTTCCTATGTGCGTACATGTTATATGCGCTATATCGTGCAACTATATATATATATATATATAGCGCGCACGCGCGCGAGCGATCCGCATAAA